TAGGTGAACCTCTCGGCGCCTTGGTTCAGTGATAGGGGGAGCCCGATCAGTTACGACTCGTTCTCGGTTGACGCCAAGGCGAGCGTAATCAATGCCGACGTTGGTCTCGTCCCGTTCTGAAAAAGAAAAGGGGAGAAGTCAATTCAGTTAGTTCGGCACATCACAAGAAAGCAAAATGAAAGAAGAAAAGAGATAATTAAAAGGCCTCGGCCCCAGCCGAAGAAGATTACCATCCCTAAACTTTCGGCTGAGGCCGACAGCTGCCAGCATATTCTCTTGGAAAACATAGTGCGTATCGGGGAGCCAAGTCTCCGGGATATGCTGCATTCGGCCGCTGCCTCCCCGGTTCGGCAGCTTGCCGAAGATGTTCTGCTGATTAAGGTTCGGGTCTGGCCCGCTATCTTCGGGAGGACCTAAACTTCCCATATCAGGATCCGGCTCGGCAAGATACCGGGGAGCGCTGAAAACGTAAGGGTGGCTCGGCTCCGTGGGTGCCCTAACCCAAATCCATTGACCTCTCCAGTCCTTGTCTGAAGAGTCGTTCGGCCACATGGTTAGGAACGGGGGCCGAGACTCAATCCGATACCACCCAGAGCCATGGCATCCGTGCCCACTTTGAATGTTTGGCACTAGCCGATGGAGCCTTTTGAAGCAATGCAGGTTCGGCACGTACCTGAAGAATTTGCAGACCCATAAGTACGTCATTACCCTTCGGATGCTGGTGGGGGTCAGCTGGCACAGGGAAATGTTGTAATGGATCAGCAAGTCTCGGACGAAAACGTCCAAAGGGAACCTCAGCCCATACTGAAGCTGTCTCGTGTACACCCCCACATACCCCGGGGGTGGACGATGGATTCTATCGGATGCTGAGGGCATTCGGCACCAATATCCATCAGCTTCAAAAATGCCGTAGTGCAACTCAATTTGCTCGGCAAATCGATATTGATCGGCGTTCTCTACCCACCATGAGTAGGGGCGGTTCTTTATCATGGCCGAAGCGACTTCGGCATCCTCCCACTCTGAAAACCCTGGGAGGATATCCCAAAGGACAGCGGGAACTTCATCATCCCGTCCTGAAGCGCTCACCCCCTCAGCCCTCTGAGGAGGAGCCGAAGAAATGGGAGTCGCCCTAACCCCTTCAGCAGGGTCAGACTCTGTCCTTCGTCCATTCCAGGTCCCAATCCTGTCCCTGGGATCGGGGATTAGCCTTGCTCTCCTTGGAGCACGGGCTCCACCTCTAACTCCCCTCACCATTGACGAATTTCGAAGGAAAAAGTCGAAAAAGGGGAAAGAGTGCAAAGTCGAAGAAAAATGAAACAAAATCAAAGGAATTTACCTTGATCTGAAGCAAAAGTCGCCGATTTACGAATTGGTAGTGACAAGTCTCAGCTTCTAAGCTTAATGCTCGGGGAATTTGCGAAGTTTTGATGCGGGCTCTTGAGCGTTCTTGAGAATTCTGGGTTTGTGTTGATGAATGAGTGGGGAGAGAAGACGCGCCTCTATTTATATCTCCAGAAATGGGAATTCAAGGAGTCTGCGTTTCAATTTCTCTCAAGCACCCCACTAAGTAACCGTTAAACACACGACCTTGCAGTTAAATCGCCCACTACCCGTCCAACTTCCGCAATTATCCACATTAACTGTTGTTATCTCATTAATCATGGGTTAATTACGGTTTAAATTCACATTTTTGGATTAACAAATCATTCACTTCCCTCCTTTTCTGATTAAATCAAACCCGACCCGTCATCCTTCCAAATCGGGTCTGGGGGGCAAGTTGTTTGGGTCCAATTTAGTCCAATTGGGCCTGGTCACTGAATGATCCAATTAAAAGCCCAAGGTTAAGGTTCAACTCTCCAAATGTGCTAAAGTCAAAAATCAAACATCCTCAAAGCCATGTCAAGGTCAGTCAACGGCCCAATCAGCTTGGCCCAGCCCAACTGACTTCCGGGCCCAATCCGCCTCCTTCATTAGCCAAGGTATAAAAGCCAACAATTTGGTCAATTCTTGGTAAGACAAAAAAGCCTCAAGCAACTAAACTCTTGCACAGCTTTCTCTCTCTAATATACTGACTTAAGCATCGGAGGGGCCTTCCTCGGCGTCCCCCCCGAGGCTAGTTTACGTGTATTTGTTGTGCAGGAAACCCTCGGCTCCTGCGTCGTTCGGACCGAGACCAAGTTCCCTCAAGATAAAAGGATCTTCCGAGATTCGATTGTTTTCATCCGAAACACTTATAATAAAAGAAGACGAATCATGCTTATGGATATAAAGTTCTACACACAGTTCGTTAAATTTAAATATGTTAACGAGAATGTTCTATTCCTATTATCTATGTACAAGGAAATACTCTTTTCCAAAATAAGTATAACTGTATAAGGATTTAGGAGTGCAAAATAGTTTATGTTAATTCGTGTGCCATAATAATTTAGGGTAAAATAGGATAGAACTCATAGAAGGGTAAATTGTAAAAATTTAATTTAATTTACAATGGTACACACTTAGGATGATTTAATTTAAATATAAATCTTGGACTAAACTTTTTGTAGGAAGGTTTTGTGGGCTTTCTTTCATACATATCAGGTTGTGTATTCACAGAATCATAGTTTTTCTTTTAGATGACTATCAATTAATACTACTCCATGTTGGAAATGCTTCAAGATAATATAAGTTTGAGAGGAATATATAGCATGAACATCGGCAAAAGAAAAATATATGTTAATAAAAAGTTAATATTTTAAAATTATAAATCAAGAGAATCTAATAAAATTTCACATACTACTCGTATATTTCTCATTATGTATGAATCACAAAATTCCCGTCAAAAAAAAAATATGAATCACAAAACACGACCGATCAAAGGAGAATGGTTGTGATTAGTGTCAAACTTAAAATGTGTCAATTAAAAACAAACTGAAAATGTACTTTAAAAGAAGTTGCAAGGGGAATTCTTGAAGTAAGTCAGGAAGATAATGATGAGCTAATAGGTTCGCACCTTAAGTTAATCCGCGCGTTAAAGTTAAGTACAAACATTACAATTTGATAAACCATACGAGATTCAATAAGTATTGTGTAAGGCGGGCTTACATTAATTTTATTGTAAGACGGTCAATATAAGGGTAACTTTAACAATTTTAATTAGGAAAAATTGACAAAAATAATCCCAACTTTCGCCGGTTCGCTCAAAATAATCCGAACTTTGGGGGGTATTCGCTCAAAATGGTCCCAAGTGATCGGTAACCTGTTAAAGAGGTAATTTTTTTTGGGGGGGGGTTTAAGTGACACGTGTCACCACGTGAATGGCTGGAAAAAATAATAATAATAAAAAAGAACACCCAACCCCATTCCATGACAACCCCACCACCACCCAAGTTCGTCACTCCGGCGTCCCTCCTCCGATCCCACCGGCCTAGCCCAGACCCCCTCCCCAACCGCCGGCACCGCCTTTTCCCGACGACCTTTCCCCCAAAACCCCCACCGTGAACCTCCAAATCTAAACCCAAAACCCTTAAAAAAAAAAAAAACCAACCCACCGCACAAACCCCCCAAATCAGCGCTCCCCCACCCTCGGAACCCTAGCGCAAGGGTTCCGAGGGTGGGGGAGCACCGATTTGGGGGGGTTTTTGTGGTGGCTGGTTTTTTTTTATATTTATTTATGCTTTCGGGTTTATTTGCGGTTGAGGTTAGGTAATTTAGGGGGAAGCAGGAGGGAAGCGCCGACCGGCGTGAGGGAAGGTTGGCGGTGGTGGTTGGTGGCTCCGGAAGCAGCTAACGCCGGCGGTATCGAGGGTTGTCGGTGGCTGGTCCTCTTTAATTTTTTTTTTTAGTTTTTGTTTTTTTTTAAAAAAAATAAAATTCAACCAATCATGTAGTGCCACATGTCCCCGTAACCTGACATAACAGGTTCGGTGACCGGTTGGGATTGTTTAAAGCGAATATCCCCCAAAGTTTGGATTATTTATAAATAATCCAAATTTGGGATTATTTTGAGTGAACCGGCAAAAGTTGGGATAATTTTTGTCAATTTTTCCTTTTAATTATATGGTAGCTTTAATCTATGTAAGGGTAACTTTAATTTGTAATGAATTTGATTGTATTTTAATATGTTATTTCTAATGAATATATGATATGAAAGCTAATATGATTAACCTAATACATTATAAGTGGATTGTAAGAATAAAATTTATGTTAAGAAAATGGTAACTTTTGTATATATAAAGGAAACTTTAAATACTTTTAGGGTAATTTTAACCCGTCCTATAATAAACTAATGAAAGTTTGCCTTAATCAAGAATTTGTGTACAAGATTATGGTAAATAATAATTAGTCAAGAAATTTGTTGTAAATGCATGTGTTGTTATTAGAGCCAAGAAAACAATATATAACCATAACATTTTAGAGCACTCCCAATGGTGATAAAAAAATATGCTCATGGACATTTTGGGTGGGCAAAAAATATGCTCATGCATTACAATGGTGATCAAATGAAGAAATGCAAAAATATGCTCACGAGCATTTCTAAAAATGCCCAAGACTTGGGCAAATTTGAGGATGAATAGTGCTTTGTGTGGGCCCCACAATTTGCAATGGTTATATTTTTTGTAATGCAAATTTTGAAATAAATATTTATTATAAAAAATAAATTAAAATTACCAACGGTCATAAAATTTAATTCTCTATAAATAAACATGCATTTTGGTATATTTTGGTATAATTTCAGAAATACCATAAATGCTCCATATTCTTTATTTTAACGATAAAAACGACACAAATAAATATAAATAAGTTACACGAATTTAGACTAGTTTTTATTTATTTGGAGTAATATTATTAAAATATAAATGTAATTAATAAATAAAGAAGTGTTGGGTATGAGAGAGAAAGTCATGGTGGGTAAGCATTTTTTTACTCACCATTGGGAGAGAAATTATGAAAATTTTTTTGCCCATGGACAAAACTGATTTGTTAAGACAAAAAGTGGATAGAGAGATATTGGACAAGCATTTTTTTTGCTCACCATTAAAAGTGGTCTTACAAACATAGTGGAACATAAGTAATCATTCAAGTACACGTCCATAATTTTCATGTCAAATCAATGAGGAATTTTATATTAAGACGCAATATAAATATGAGTGTTTAATTTCCTTAGTTGCTTCCTCAAGAGAACTTGAAATTTGTAAATTGTAATGATAGATACTACGTAAGTCTTTAGACATTTTAAGCGATTGGGGACTATGGGGTTAGGGTTGGGGTCATCCACTCATCCCTTACACTCTCTCTTAATTTATTTGCGTTATAATTGGACCTACATTTTTAAGCCTTAATTTAGATACTTACTAACCTCATACACAATTTTCCATCTGAAAAAATTAAAAAAAATGCTATTCGTTTTGTGTTTACTTTCTCTCATAAGCCGTCTTTTTAGTTGTACCTATTTTTGCTTTATTTCTTACTTGATCATGCAACATGAGGGTCCACCAACCTTTTACATCCCCAATAAGCGGAAAAAAGACATGAGCTACTTCGTATTATTCTATCCGTAATCCTTGATTATCGGGTTTATTGTAAATGAATAGAACTTAATTAGGCTTACTGAGACATTATTAAATTTGCTGTGGATAGAAGTTTAAATTAATTGAAGACACATATAAAACCATCTTGATAAATTTAAGAATCAAGCTAGCATTACAAGTTTGATTTTTTCTTTTTTCTTAGTTGGGGGAAGAGGGGTTACTGAACTAAAGAATTGGTACGTTATCCCCTCAAAATCTGGAAAATAAATTGACTAGTGTTTTGTGCTCTTTTGCTTCCTTGAACTTGACTTCACCGGCAGTATCCTAATTCTTTTTGCCACTCGTACAAAATCCCTGCCCACAATCATATGTTACAATATGAGTTTTAATTTATTTTTTCATGAAAAAAAATATTTCCTAAAATTTATTCTTCTTATAAGAAATGGATGAAATACAATTTCTCTATACAGTGTGCGCCCGTAATTTCTCGTTAGGGCACATGAGATGTACGTAGAAATACCCGATACACACAAACAATGCTTATATGATAAGGTTTGATTTTTCTTTCAAAAAAAAAAAAAAAAAAGAAAGGTTTGATTTTATAATCAATTTGTAATACGGTGAATTTGAAAATATTCTTAATTACTGATAGTAATATGAGACGACACCATACATGTAAAACTTGAAAACAAGGGGATTATTATTATTTTTTTTTTTTGGAGGGAGAAAACGAGGGAATTATATAGTAGTTTCATTTTAACATGATGAACCACAAGGTCCTAGACTCTTACAATTGCATATATACATGCTAGCTAGTATATTATACTTGTACCTTGCTGCTTAAAGCCATGGAACGATTTGGAAAGTGTTAAGAGTAGCTTGGGAGATGAAGGAAATTTTATAGAAAGGGTAGTTATTAAAGGCTTTATTATAGGACAATCAAGAATCATCCTAATTAACTAAACTCTCCTTCAAACTAAAGAAACATAATGCAAGTTGATAATCAAGCGACATGCACATAACATAATAACTAGCTTAGCTAGCCATCTTAAGGAGGAAATTATCATAAGAGATGAGGAACATCTTACTCAATCCTTCTTATGAAATAAAACGTACTTGTATAAAACAATCTCTTTTTTCTCAAATCTATAATTATTGTACCTATTTACTTTTTCTATTTTTTTTTCCTATTTTTTTTAGCTAGAAGTGCTTTAAATGAAGAATGGAGGAGGTATGTCTTAACTTCTATGTATGGAGTACTACTTTTCTAACATATAATTTCAAATGTGACATACATTATTGTCATATGATTAATGGCCAATTATTTCTTCCCTCATTATAGTTATACATGACGAAACCTATTTTCCAAATATGTTTCTGTAATGCATGACTTCTTCATATATATATATATTATATATATATATATATATATATATATATATATATATATATATATATATATATATAATTAAATACCACATAAGCCTTTTATGGTCTCGTAATTCATTTTTATATAATTAATAATATATGAAATAATAATCACTTGACCCAAAGTAAAAACATAAATTAAAGCTATGATTTCATTTGAAAATGTCATGTGGCATTTTATTAATTAATGCATTGATTTAATTTAAATAAAAAAGAAAAAACATAAATTTAAAAGAAGTTATCCTACTTAAGTAATTGTTGGATACCACAGCACGTAACAAGATGAACTCACAATATTTAAAAATTTCTCCCTCTTTTCCTCTTAGAAAGAAGCACACATGACAATTAAAAGTCCAATTTTCTCTACCTAAATTTTCTAAATGAAAAGGGTGATCCAAGTTATTGGACACGCCCTAAAAAAGGGTTAAGAATTTAAGATGATGATGTTTAAACCATCTACATAGTGCTAAACTACTAGCATGTTGGTGATATTATTATTCTAAAAAAAAAAAAAAAAGTATTCAAGATTTCAAGTACTAGAGAGAACTCTTTAAAAATTATGTCTGTATATATGTCAGATCCCTACCAAAGTATTATTTGTCAATGGATTGCTTTACTTGCATACAATTTCAAAGTAGGTCAGATGGTGAACGCTTACATCCCTTACTTAAAAGACATATAATACATATTACGCAAAAATAAATGACAACTGATCCGACTCTACATACCTTGAGGTCCATAGGCTTAAATAGGTGATTAATTTTGGTGTCATCAGTTACACACACCTAACTGAAGTAAATAACTCATTGCTTGGTAGGGGGAGGTTGGATGTGAAATCACGTACATATATTTTGGGAATTAATACAACATATAGTGCACAACAATAACTACTAACTTTTGGTGCTCTAAAACAAGTTCATAATATGGGACAAGTTTTGGGACCAAATTATGTATTGACATTTACACAGACTACTTAAATATTTATGCACACCCAAAAACAAACACATTAATAATCTATTATTCATGCATATTTATAAGTACCTACACACGTAATTTCTTGAAAATCAGTGTCCCAGGACACTTATTATTTTTAAGGTGTTGTCCATCAGCATATGTCTCCAATCCTGTGATTCTTGCATCTTTCTTATTTTACTAAATATCACTTTCTCCATCCGTATTATTAATTAAATAGTCAGATTGATAGTATAATTTATGTGAATTGTACTAATAACAAAGTGAAAAATAAAATCAAAGGAAGTAAATTCAGAAGAAATTAGTATTGGTACAAAGTATCATCGCATTAAGCGATAAGCATATTATTTAACTTCCCACATAATATATTTTTTACTATACCTTAGAAACTATATAGTGTTGCTTGTAATGAAATTTTTTTCGAATAAATTATTTTTTTAATGTAATTTAAATTGATGAATTGGATTTCTTAAATTATTACTTCGTAAAACATAACTTTAATTTATTTATATTTTAGAAAAAAAAATAGGTATTAATTGCAATAAACTTCATTAAAATATATATCGACACCAAAAATTCTTGTATTATTTTGCCCAAATATTATGATAGTTTTTCAATTATCATGTTTAAAATTTCCGATCTTTAATATATCATACACAACGACAATACTTTATTCTGTATTTCGCGAAATTTTTATTTATAAACAGACACCCTTAAATTAATAATAAAAAAAAAGCCGTTTCAAATTAAAATAAATATATAAAATAAAAACATAATCATGATAAAATGAAAAAAAGTAGAAGAGAAAAAGTAGAGAGAAAAAAAGACGTACTTCCACTGAAGATCACCAGCAAGAAGAAGATCATTCTCCATATCTTCATAAGCAATAACATAACCAGGAACAGCATTAGACAAATCAAGTTGCTGTTGTTGTTGTCCATCATTATTATTTTCATCATCATTTTGTTGAATATTTGCTATTTCCACAAACATTTGTCTAAGAGCCTTGGCTAAACTATGGTAGTTACCATGGTTTTGTAGGTTAATCCGGTGGCAGATCGAACGGCCCTCGAGCACAACTGTGATCGAGGGCACGACGTTTAGGACTAGATCTCCACCACCACCATCTAACCTCCCTGGTTGGAGGAAGTGATGATGATGGCCATGGGGTGGTTTACTTATAAATAATGATGATTGTTGTGACGTCGAGGACGACGCCACAGATGTAGTAGGGTTAGTAGGGGCGGTATCATGCCATCTTCTTTTTAAGGATTCTTGCCTTTGAACCTCAATAATATTATTGTTCATATTGTTATACATGATAATATATGTATATATGATAATTATATATAATATATGCTTCTAATAATTATATATAGAAGCATATATTATAATTCTTGAAATATTTTTTTCTCAATATGTTTTTGAAGAGAGAGAAAGAATAGAGAGAAAGAGAGAGAGTCGGTGGAGGAGGTAGTTAGTGTGAGTGATCAAGCTAGCTTTTAGTGGTATGTTTGGAATGAATGAAATTATATAACATGAAAGAGAGTTTAAATAGAAAGGGTTGGATAGGAGTACATTTATGTCTGAAATTATATATCTTAATTAATCGATTATTTAGAGGGTTTGTTTTTTTTTTATTTTATTATTATATATATATATTTGGGGAAGTTCCTTTTTTTTCCTCATTTCAAGGTCAAGATGGTGAGTTGAATTGAATTTGCTTGGGATGTTTTTTTTTTTTTAATACAATTGTAGTATGATAGTAATAAACTTAAACCCTCCACCTATTAGATTTAATACTAAATGATATAAATATAATCGTATGTATCAAGAGGTGGCTAACAGGTCATTTGAATCAAGTTTAATTCAGCTCAATTTAGTTTAGGTCAAGATCAATTTAGGTATATGGTTATAAATCATCCGGTGCAAGTTGATTATATGGGTCTATTTTCAATATAAAGAAAGCCAACAAGGAAACAAGGGATGATCATAAATAATAACTTTTGTTCTCAGTATAAAGAAAAAGTTTTTATTATATATTGATCTGAGTTGAGGTTTAACCTATTGTACTCTTGAACTTAATAACTCGATAAACCAAGTGAAAATTTTGCATTCTTATTTTCCTTATGGATTATAACAAGAATTGATCATCCCACGATCTACAGAATAGAGGAGAAACCCTAGCTCCTACCAAGCGAGATTGAGATACCTCTGAGCTACCTTCCACTTTGACTTAGGGTCCTAATTATGCTTAATTTAACGGAATTTGACTTATTTCGCCTATATGAAACCATTGTGGTTTTTTTCTTTTTCTTTTTTTTTTTTTTTTTTTTTTTTTTGTTTGTTGTGAATTGAAACTTGTTGATAATAAAAATAACTTAATCGATATGAATTAATTTGAATTAAGTTAAAATAAGTTATATCGATCAAGCATAAGCACACATCCTAGCATCAAGAGATACATCGACAATGTGAGAACGAAGTATCATACCAAACACACACTAGATTAAGGATTCGGTTATTATAAGAAATTAATAAATACATTATTTGAAACCAAAGAATAAAAAATTAGATAATGAACAAGTTGTTCCTTGTGTTTCACATAGTGACTTAAAATTCCTTGTCTGGCTGTCTCGTGTTTGTGTTTGAACTACTTGCAAAGATAAGGCCCCCATGCGGAAGAGGCATGTTTGCTTGCGAAACCCAAAAGTTGGTTGATCATATGGTACGATTACATTATATTTGGATCTTTGTTCACTAACATGAACAATATCATATAATTAATATTTTATGTTGATAACAATACATGAAGAAATATAGGATCTCATCTAATTTTTATGCATATTATTTTTATGGGGATCATATAATTATAATTAAAATAACGTGAACGCTAAGCAATTTAAGTTGGACCATATAAATATAAGAGAAAATTGCATGAAATTAAATAAAATTGGTAAAATAATTCTTGTAAATTGAAATTGCATGGACGTAAGAGAAAACCTTTGAGCGTTACCGTCGGCGAATGGTTCGCTTACAATTTTGACTCAAATTTAATTTTATTAATTACAAACAATTAAACATGACACTGAATTAAAGAAGATGCTTTTCTTTTTGTTGATCCCAAAGTATAAATTTATAGTATTTTTTTTTTAATTTTGTTTGGATATGAAGGAAGTTGCATTAGATTTAAGGACACAAAAATAATCTAAAGATCTGTATTAGTGCATTTCAAAGAGATCAGTATTAACGTGGCATTACTTCTGTTCCAGACTTCCAGCCTAACACTGTACGTTTCCTTTTTCTCCTGTTTTTCATAAATTGTTTATGTTCATGCTTTTAATATTTGACCTAAAGTGGACATATGGATTTTACTCTTGAAGGTGTTAAGATTGGATTCGATTAAGGTTTTATTTGATCAATTGATCGGATTATGAGACATTGGGTTCAATATCGAATATGGATATGGGTTGACCACAGTGGCGTCATTGTACATTAATTTACTGCATCCTTCTGTATCAGGCTATCAAAATAAGTGCATCACTTTGGCTAACACATTTGTCAATGTAAAAATCCAATCGTTAATATTTTTAATTGTCAATTAATATATATATATATATATATATATATATATATATATATATAAATAAAGATACTCGTAGTATACAAAAATGCAATTTAGCTTAAAATAACATTTTACAAAATAATAATTAAATTTGTAATATGCGGCCATAATTCAGTTATTGTGAAACAAAGGAATTGGAATCAATTTTAGTCATGGCTAGATTCAATTTTAGTTCAACTTAAAGTCAATTTATCCAAACTTGGTTACTATTCAAATTTTGGCTAGAGTTTGCAAATATATTCCATCCCCAGGTCCACTATCTATATCATACATACATACATTCATATAATATACAGTATCAAAAATTGTTTCTATTGCATTCCACCCATCACATGGAATTATCTCTTACAAAGCATCTTATTCTATGTCATTTACATTATCACATACATGCACCTACAAAAAATACTTCCTCCGTTAACGATTATCTGCAACATTTGCCATTTTCGATTGCTATCTATTATGTGCAACAAATTTTTTTCTTTCCACTTTTAGTAACATTTTTCCAACAAAATGCCCATATTACCAATACTTAAACAACTTAGACATTTAATTAAATCACTAACCTAATTTAACTTTTTACCTAATAAATCTGATTATTGTAATCATTTTCACCAAAAATCATTCATCTTCCCATTTTCTTTGTCTTCTCTCTCTCATCCTCCTTTTGAGCCAACCCTAGATCTCTGTTTTTCTGCAATTTTCTTCCTCCTTCAATTTTCTCTCTCCTCTTCTTCTTCTTCTTCTTCTTCTTCTTCTTCTTCTTCTTCTTCTTCTTCTTCTTCTTCTTCTTCTTCTTCTTCTTCTTCTTCTTCTTCTTCTTCTTCACATCTTTCATTGGCAATGGAAAATCGGTTAAACATGTCCCTCGATGATCTCATCAAGATCAACAAATCTTCTGGTTCGTGGGGGGTTTAGGGGTTTCAAATCTGGTTTTAGGGGTGGCGTGAGTTTCGTGGGATAGTTTTAGGGGTTTCAGATCTGGTTTCGTGGTGATGGCTTAATTGGGAGTAATACAATTCGTGGTGGTTTCGATTTAATTGGGTTTCATGGTGGTTTGATGGGTTCGTGTTGGTTTGCTCGGTTCGTGGTGGTTTTGGCTGGTTCATGGTGGTTTTATTGGGGCTTTCGGGGTTTTGGTGGTTGTTGTCGGTGGGTTTTGGTGGTTGTTTTCATTGGGTTTTGGAGGTTTTTGCTGGGATTTGGTGGGTTTGGTGGTGGTTTCCAGTGGGTGCCTGGGTTTTCAGTCGGTTCGGTGGTGGTTTACGGTAGTTTTCAGTGGGTTCGGTGGTGGTGGTGGTTTACGGCGGTGGTGGTGGTTTACGGTGGGTTCGGCGGTGGTGGTGGTGATTATGGGTTTGGTTGTTTAGTGGTTTTAATTAATTGTTGGTTTTTTTTTATAATTGGATTAGTGCTTAAGCACATGCCCTTATATTTCAATAATCATGTTTAAAAACTTTTGCCTAGGCCTTCGCGAAAAGTACAATTGTTACTGATAATCGTTAACAGAGGTAGTATAACAAAAGAAAAATGTCTAACCATGGTTTTCACATGTCAAATCTCAGCTATTCCCCGTGTAGTAATTTGGGGCATTGTACGAATCAATTCATTTCTTGAAAGTCATACAATATCTACAATAAATTCAAAATCAACAGATACTGATTATATATCATATTCGATCAAATAAAAGTCTTCTCGATAAGATCTACAATCGAAGTAGATGAAATATTACTCCGTATTGAGAACATAATTAAATTGAAATTTCTAAAAAAACACTTGATCACTTCATTTACTATTTGTATTGTGATTGTAATTGTTAAAATATCAACTCAACCAAAGTTTAAGCTGATTGTTGAAATTCAGGATTGGTTTATATACTCTATCACGCCCCTTTATATGAGAGCCCTTTAGGCTTGAAATGTGGATGCAACATGGGTCATCCGCATACCCTGCGTGAAATATTCCACTTGAAAGTGAGGGTGGATGAAATTTGAACCATGTTGACTCTGATACCATGTTAAAGGACAAACTCAACCAAAAATTTTAACTGATGGTTGAAGCCCAAAATTGATTTATATCGGTAACTTCCCAAATTATTTATAAGGAAAAAATAAAAAATAAAAATAAATAAAAATACATAAATAAATTCATGCATGATCAATTGTGTAGAATCTCTAGTAGTTTTCTCATACAAATCAAACAAATTAATTTTAGGTTGACAAGTAATGCCTTAGAAGATACGGAGTTAGAAGCTTAGAGATAAACAAGTATTCCAAGACAAGGTGCAAATAATATGTAAATATTCAAAGAAAGTATGATTATTAGAGTACCAAAAATCTAGCATACATCAACCACTCTTTGAATAAGTAAAGATAGCAATTGATGTGGGTCAAATAGAAGATCATGGTCATAGTGGTAAGTACTCTTCAATATAGTCAGATCAATTAGTAAAAGTATGGTCATCGTGGCAATTGCTCTTCGATTTACTCTGTCTGATCGTATTAAAATTCATGGTCATATATAGTGGGCATGTACTCTTCAGTATGACTACTTTATATTCAATCAATAAATTAATACCAAGTTTCAAGCTACCAAGCTAAGCTTGGTCTACTGGTAAAAATTGTACCTTTCAACTTTAAGGTTGAGGGTTTAATTTCCATTAGAGACATACACTTGAAGGGTGGGAATTAGATCTAAAGCTGTCAAAAGCTGACCCGACCCGAAAATTTTATCTGAACCCGATCATGACCTGACCTATTTGAACCCGAAAAATTGGTGACCCAAACCCGATATGACCCGACCTAAAACCAACCCGAGACCCAAATTAACCTTAGGATTCGTGACCCGAACCCGAACATAACTCGACTTGAGATGAACATAACCTGTCAATTATTGACCTGAACCGAACCTGACCTGAACCCGAGACTGATCCAAACCCGTTTTGACCCGTTGAAACCCGAATTCAACCCGACCTAGATTCAACCAGATCTGTTACTAATCCGAATAGAATTCAACCCAATATGTTTTTAACACGACCCAAACCTGATGTAACCCGACCCGAATTGTAATGCAATTAACTCAAATTAACTCGAACCGAGCTAACTCGACCCAAACACTCAAATTGACAAATCTACCTTTAACATTGCTAGCTTACAATTAAAGATTAACCTAATATTTGAGACCCAAAACTGACCCGACCTGATTATAACCCGCAAATTATTGACTTGAACCGAATCCGACTCAAACTCGAGAACAACCCTAACTCGTTTTAACCCGTTAAAACCCGACCAATAATT